TTGAATTAACAGAACAAGATGTTTGAGGTATTGTCTTGGCTTTCAAATGTCAAACCTAACACCCACATGCAAATCCATGATAATGGACAAACTAGTCCAAATCCTGGTTGCCGCACCTTGCAATGAAACACCTGTTTTTTGTAGGATCTGTTTCAATCTGTTCCAGTATACATGAAAAATTACAACTATTTGTTCAACTAAATACTAGTGAGAAAAAATGTCAAATTAAAAAAATGACCCATCTATTTGTCTTGAAATTTTCAGAACTAATTTCCACAGAAATTGAAGTGCAGATTTCATTTTGTAAAATGTTTATGAACAGTCATCTGTAGTAATAGATAGAAATGGACATTGCTGGCATTTTGCTGGTTTGAATTACCCTTTATGACAAATCAAAACAGCATTAAAGGCAAATGTGAGTGTTGCTTGCTCTTACCGACATCAACATATCTCCTTCCACCAATTCGATTCTGTCAGAGACTATTTCTGGGGGGAGAGAACAAAAACAAAATGACAGTTTTTAGGAAGGTATTGCTTAAAGTTTCTTAAAAGAAAAGAGAAAGCTTTCTCTGCAATATACCTAAAGACTGACCAAAAAGTAGCTCAAATGAAAACCAGAAACAGTGTGGCCTTACCTTCCAAAGTCTCTGGTTGAACGTTACCCTTTGGTAATGTCTTGACGTCAACTAGAGGAACTGAGGAAAAATAAATTGAGTCTTTGATTAAGTAACTTAAACTTTGTTTCCCCATAGAGTTATTTGCATTTATACTAAAACATTGAGGAAGCACAGACTCCTGTCTTCAGAATGTTCTATCAATGTAACATTACAAACTAACTTCTCACCATTTTTTACTTGTTCAACAAACAGAAGAACCACTAAGAGCTGAAGCAGCATTGCTTTTGTTCCACTTGAGCTTCTAGTGCCTCCCAATGTCATCACATGAAGTGAGATCACCTGGGAGCTCCAGACTTCTTCAAGATCCTTCTTCTTCTTGTGAGGTCTAATGGCGGTTGGCAAACTTGTGAGAAGTGCATTACCGCCACCAACTGATATGGAGTAAAGCAAGAAAACAGGAAACCATTCACCCCAGAAATAAACAAAAAACTGTTTAACTTAACCCAACATAATAAATACTTAATCACGTTTGCCCTTATCATTTTAATTTATCCAGTTAAGTTTAATTTAGCCAGTTTCTTATGGTCCTATCGGTTTTCCAATCATGCTTTCAGCCATTTCCCAGTTTAAGTCTTTCACTTCCAGATATTTTTCTGCAGCTTTCACTATTACTTAGATTATTTTGGTTTTTCTTGTCGTCTGTGCAGCACAATTGATGACTTCCACCATGAATAGAACAAAATCTTTCTTTTTAACAATTACTGAATTTTCTTCAATTTTGGCACATTTCTCCAGAGGTTTGGAATCTGCCATGTGTTGAACGGTTGGTTTGGTTTTTCTAACTGAGATGGGATTATTCCAACCTATAATTAAATTTTTTAATTTCCTCAGACCTTTTGCTCATTTCACAGCCGCGATATGCAGCAGTTTATTCTTCACCACCGTTACAGCATTTGATTTGAGCTTCTTTCCCACATTTTCCGTACTCATGTTCTCCTGCACACCTTCCACACCTCTGTTTCCCTTTACAAACTGCTGCTATGTGTCAGAATTTTTGGCATTTGTAGCATCTGAATGGTGGAGGATTGTAGATTTTAACATTATAGCTGATGTAACCAATGAATACTTTGTTGGGTAATTGATCTTCCTCAAATTTAATTAACACCGATAAACTATCAGATCTTTCTCTGTTTCTTATTTTTAACCGTTTTACTTCTTTTACTTTTGCACCGCTTATGTTTTCTAGAATCTCTTTTTCAGACACTCTTAGAGGAACTCCTCCAATGACTCCGAGTCGGAATTGGACCTGTGAC